AAAACTCTAACCCTAAATCCTAACTCAACTATAAAAAAAAAGCCTACAAAAAAGGCCCAAAAAAATTTAAAAATCGTCATGAAATAGATCCAAATTTCACAATAATCCGATTTCATAATCAGCCGTGACATTATGTTTATATATTGCATGAAATGCTGGCCACAATTATTGTAAAGCGAGTCAAAACTAGCATAAGTGCTTATTTTTGGTATTTGTTTTGACAATGTTATTTATCCTATAGATAATATATATATAATTAATTTAATTAAAATTAATAATGTACAAAAATAAGATTTTTTTTTGCAACTATCACTACTATATAAGTACAAACAAAACTTTATACATATACGTAATATACTATTCACAAGAATTTAACCGGGTGTATATGGTCCCTTTTTTAACTTTATATAATAACTATATAAAGTCACTTAAAAAAAAAGAGACCGTGTACAAGGACTCTTGATACACCCGGTATAAAGATAAGACTTGTTTTATTTTATTACTATCATTAAAATTAAAAGCTATATAAATTATATAAATTATATAAATTATACGTATAAATTATATATATAGCATAATTTATTATCGTGCAAATAGTAACTGCATAATTTTATAAATTTTAGGTATGGCGACTAGCGCTGACGACCTTAAACAGACGGTAACCAAAATTGCACATGTGCTGGTTACTTTAAATTAGTATGTAGATAAGATCAAAGGGACCACTTTAACAATCAAAATTTACCAAAATTTAATAATAATAGGGAAAAACGGAGCCTACGACAGTGGTTATATTATTGATGCAGATCTAATATTAATTAATTATTTGCATCAATAACGTAATCACCTGCGTAGCGAGTTAATTTCAAAATTCTATTATTCGAATTTTACAACCAGATCAAATTATTATAATAATTTAGGAGTTGGATTTTTCTTATGAGTGTGTGAGAGTGAAAACCTGGAAATTGATTTAATGATTTACCATGATCGGTTTCCACTCTATGATAAAACTGTTTAAAGTGAAAAATAAATTCGATTCTAAGCTCTGAGTTAAATGGTACAGTATTATATAGCTAATTCCAAACCTAGTTCAAACAGAACTTTATTTTTATATTTTTGAGCCCAGACGAACTAATTATTTAACTTATATATTATCAATGTGAATAATTTCGTTCAATCCTTTTCATCGGAAGTAATATCAGCGATATATTCTTTCAACTAACTTTCTTATTATACACTCTCTTTTCAACTAATTTTCTTATTATGCACTCTCTTTTCAACTAATTTACTTTTTATTGGTATTACTTATTTTCTTCATCTAGCTCCCCTCGTATATCTTTTGGTATGTCTTTTTGTGTGTAGTCATCAAGCTGCTGCACTTCTTTACCGATTTGTTGCTCAATGTCTTTATGTTCTTGAGTATTATTTTCATTTTTCTCTTTATTTTGTTCCTCAAAAATGCTTTCAACATTATATTTCTTCAATGTCTTATAGTCAGAAAGAACGCTAATCCCACATACACTCTATACGTGAAAAAAAAATTTTTTTTTTTTTAGCTATTTAAAAATGGTATGCAAAAATATTACATCTGCTAAAAATTAAAAAGAATTAAAAAAAAAACCTTAAAAATTTCAACAATGATAACCAAATCTGGTTTATCAAGATTGACAACATGATAATCACCAACAACACTTGCAATCTGTTGAATCAATTCCATTCTGTCTATTTTATTGTTATTTCGAGTATTTGGAATTATGGCGTACTTAATACAGAAGAATGAAAAAAATTTTAATGAATATGAATACGTTAGCAATAATTCGTCAAAAATGAAAGTTAAAAAAATTATTACCTTTATCTTTTGTTGCTGATCTTGTCCCTGTTTATGAAAATGAGGATACAGCACTACTTCGGCTAATTTTTTTATATCATTCATATTGGCGTAGCAAGTCTGTGTGATTGGGACAAGCCGCTTACAAAACCTATTAGAGAAATAATATATTACAAAGTACTACTAAGCAACTTTTTCACATGCTCAACTAACAAATGTTAGCCATACTAGAAAAAAGCGATTCAATCTCCCACCTCGTTTTCTTTTGCTTAGTATTATTTAAATCGGTCAATATATAGTGAACTAATTGAACTGGATCTACAGGAGGATTGGTCTTGATAAAAACAACTAAATATAATATAGAATAAATAAATTTTTTGAAATAACTAAATGAATTAATATTCATACCACAATCTGTTCCCGTTTGAATTGATGCAAATCTACGTGATGTATGTGGTCGCTTCATTTGTGCGAGTTCTTTAGCAATAGAGCTTTCAATATCATCATCTATTGCTTTATCATCATCTATTGCTTTATTCGCTTCATTATCATCTACAACATCTGTCAAATCATCATGTTTGTAAATTAAGTCTGCGTACTAATTAAAAAAAATAAAGTATTAACCCAAATTTTAAAAAATAGACAAATAACTTTTAGAAAGATTATTTTTTCAAATAATTACTACGTCGAATAAATCATAGCATTCTCTTATACAAAGATCTTCCTTATTCTTTGCGCAACTAACAAAGACTCCGGATATTCCTGGTTGAAATGCTGCGATATTATTTTTTTTCTTATAGTAAGGTTTTTCTATTATTGTAAAAAAAAAATTATATATTTAATATTGTATCATTACCAACACCTTCTTAAGCATCAAATAGTTTATTTACTTCTTTGACTTTTTGAAATTCCACTACCACGCCTAGATCGTCTTTGAGAACTCGACATAATGATAATAAATAGAGATGTTCGTTTTTATTGGTTGAATTTAAAAATACTTCAATACTTATTTTATATTGACAAAATATTGTTAAACGAGCTTTTTATATTATTTTACAATAGAAACTTATCAAAGACCCCTGAAATTTTGTTAGATTTAACGCATATAAAAATTTTGGATCAAGGATCAAGTGTTCTATATACCAACTTTTATTAGAAGCGATCTGATATTACAAGCATGTAGTACGTTAACAATATTATGTATTTTTTAACTTTCAACGAGTAATAACTAATTTCTTTTGAATAGATGTTCGAACTTCACGAGTAAGATTAAAAATCAATTATTTAACAAAATTTTATAAAAGTATCGGA